TGTCGCCCCCATTTTAAAACGCTAAAAACATTAACTCTGCCATATTTGTACGGTCAACGGCACATCAGTGTACACATTTTTGTTCGAAAATCGCCGCCTGTGTAGCTTGATGTGCTGGCGTATGTACATATCAGAAGCTAAGCTTTGTAAAGACGAATTAACATTAATTTAAACGGGCTAAGGACATGACTGCTAGAAGCCTACGAAGCCCCAATCAAGTACTAAGTACAAATCCTAAGACTAAAGGCTTCCAAAAGAACTATTACGCAATGTGATTTTTAATAAGCTACTGTGTTAAATTACTTCCTTTGATCAGTTTTACAAAAGAACTGCGCAAATGGGTCCTAGAAAAATAATTTTATTCATAATTAGATTATTAAAGGAACAAACCAGCGGACCTCACGAATTTGTTTACGTGTTTGTTGTTGTGTCTTTGTATTAGGATTTTTCAACGACTTTTTAGCCGTAGCGTCATCTATGAGAAATCTTAACTATTTCGTCACCCAGTTAAATACCTTTACAGCTACCAGCGCTGGCTAGAGATGTCGCTATTCATTGTTTTTAAATATTCAGTTATTTTTGTTCAGTTCACGATTTTTTCAAATATAAAGACGATCCGTATCGATGCATTATGTTAATCTTGATTCAGCTTATCTAATTTATTAATGAATTTGTATTATAATATATTTTATTAATATATTTGCATGCTTTTGCCAAGGCTAAATAGGATCATTTAAAGTTCATCAATTAAATTTTAACATCAACATTTAGCGCCCAGTCACACGAGGCTAAAGATTTCGCGCTAAGACCGCCCAATTACCACGCCTTCATGTACATTAATGGCAAATCTGAATTCTATTTACTAGGCAACAACATTTAAATTCCTCTGAATAATACAATCGCGCGGTCGCCGCGCGGGCCGCCGCGAAGACCAAGTTCAAGCCCGGGTCGCCTGCGTGCCCGAGACGCTCATTTAAGTTAAAACGTAGAAGCTAAACGAATAGAGCGTATTTTGCCATGACAGTTAGACGCACGCGGTCATGGCGATTTGTGAGCGCGATGAAATTCATGTCGAATGCGCCCTTATAATGTACCTTCCCTATTCATAGCGAATAAATGAGATTTAAACTGATTTGAAAGATCTTAGAGGCACTGCCTCAGCGCCCGTCACCCTGAGACATAAGTTGACAAGTCCCATGTGCCTGTAATTTCACCAACACCCTTATCCATCAAAACCGGAACGCAGTAATAATTTACTGCGAGCTACTGGTACTCTGATATGATTAGGTAAGCACGCGTCTATATTCCATTAAAAATTTAATTAACTTAACCAATAACAGACAAATTGAAGTTATTACTTAGTTAACGCGTTAGTTAATAGCTTAACTGTTACATTCGGTTATTAGCAGAACAATAGTTTAACCCTTAACGTAATTAGGTCATATCTTCAAAATGACAACTGCTAAGATATAATGACATTAGCAAGCCTAGAGTTTCTTGCTCATTCTTCTCAGGGGAATCTGCCTTACGAATGAGCGGCAGAGTTTAATGAATGTGAAGATATTCACTCGGTTTTAGGGTCCATTGAAAAGCGTCACAGCCAAAAGGCTGCGCTCGGCGGTGAGATTATCAGAGTGGATCTTTTTACATACGCCACAGCCGCACACACGACGTTCACTCTAATTACGTTCAATATTTAATGTTTGCTTTGTTGTGTGTAAATTTATTTTTATTTCAGTTATCTTGTTATTTAATTTAATTTTTTGTTTTAATTTAGCTTTATCTTTTTTTTTGTAACTGTGACAAATAGATGCAATTCTACGAACTTTTGAAACGAACGAAGCTTTGAAACTTCCTTTTTTGTTGTTATAAATAAACAAATTTTAGAAGAAACTATCAAAAACAACAAAAAAGTCTTCACGTGTTATTTGCGCAAAACGTGTTTGTTGACACATTAAAATAAGTAAATATTAAACAACGTTACATACGTTGTTCTGATCCCAAAGTAAGTATTTAAAGCACTTGTGTTGTGGAAATTGGAAATAACTAAGGTACTACAAACACCCAGACCCGAGACAATGTAGAAAAGTTATGCTATAGAATGTATTAAATGTTCTAAAAATATTAAAAATGCTAAAGGATATAAAATGCGAATAATTGTTATACTGACCCGGCCCGGAATCGAACCAGGGATGCTGACACCATGAATCCGGTGTGCATTCCACGCCACTCGACCGCGGAGGTCGTAAAGATCCGATTTTATTCACACTCAGTCACTGTAAAATCATATTATTTAGTATAGTTCTCTGATTATCACTAAGTTTATGGAAAACATCGCGCATTTGCATTGGAAGTGGTGAAATTCGTTCAAAGAGTTGCAAGACATTTTTAATAATGTCTGTTAATAATGTCTTTGAAATAATAGTTATTTGTTACGCAAGGCTGCAAAGTTGTCGTGACGCGAGTGCTTGTATTGACCTGAGCAAGCGAAGCGTCATAAATTAGCATTCAAAAATAAAATCCTGAGCGTAGCGATGGCTTCCAGTCACGAGCGAAACAACTTTGCTGCCGAGCGAAACACTCAACACTTCACGTCACTATAGCTAAGAAAATGGTAGATGAAATAAAAACAGTTGCACTATAACAAATCAGTTTTAATAAACACAATTAGTTATTATTGTCAACTATAATAAGAATAAAATCAACAACGGATTTATATTACATAAATAATATACGACAAATCGCGTAGTTGAACGTGTCGTTATGTTTTTTTTCATTGAAAGAAAAAGTTAGGTGCACCACAGTCCATCGTCAAGTTCGAACTTCAGAAACCTTTTCCACGCTAGTGTGGAAAAAACGCTTTTGCACGCAGATTTCTAATGAGAAATAAAGCCTTTCCGAGCTAGTGAGGTGACAAGATTATTTGTGTTTGACATTCTACTGTAGTGAATTTAGTCGATAACTTTCTTATGCTTAAATAGGTTTTAGTTTAGTTTATAAAATTTCACATATATACGTAGAGTCCGGATTATTTTTATGACTTTCATGTAATAAATGTTTTTTTTGTTCATAAATATAATAAGGAAAAGGTTTGGAAACCATACAGCCACGTTTTGGCAAATTTTTCTGCTTTATATTTTAGTATGAATAGGCATACGCCAAATCTTCAATCAATTCTTTATTATATAGGCATAAAGCTTCGTCTTCATTGGGTCATCATTAAGAGTGGGATCAATGCGTCAGTTCCAATTATCGTCAATTCCGAATATTTTACCAATTCCGATTAAATCCAATTCCATTCATCCATGATCTTTCATAGTATTTTTTAGTAACAGTAGAGCTTCTTGTGAATGAGTTTATCCAAGAGAGTGAGAAGCTACTCAAGACACTGAAACTTACATTGATATTTATAATTTTATAATGTTCCATATTTGTTTTTCATTTTGTAATACCAAATGACGGGACGAATAAGCCGTGTGTCTGGTGGTAAGCGACACGTCTATCCATAACAGTTGCAGACCCACTCAGGGCTTTGAATCACAAAAGTTAAAGCACTGTCATCCTGAGACATAAATTGATATATCCAATGTGCCTGTAATTTCACCAGCACCCTTACCCTTCCAAACCTCACGCTCACAATACTGCTTGGTGGCAGAAATAGGTAAGGTGGCAGTACTTCCCTGGACGAACTTCACAAGGAGCTTTACTGCCTTTTCAATTGGGGCATTATTTAAATGTGCATGTTCCATGGCGACCTCACAGTCACTTTCCATCAGGAGGTCAATACGGACTTCAATTTTTTAATGCAAAAAATGTTTCTTAATAACAATTTTTATTTATTATATTATCGTATTCAAACTTGATTCTGACGTCAAAACAAGATGACTTTTTACCTTTTTAGCGTGTCGTTTTTATAGCACTGCTTTCTCTACCACGTGGTTTATTTACGTATATCTCATGTCTATTGAATGAGCGTTTTTCGTGTTAATAAATAATGTTATATAAAACTGTAATAGGTATATATTTTAATTTAAACAACACAGCTTTATACAAATAATTACAAATAAGGAAGGAAATTTGACTTCTTGATCGTCTCCTCCAGAACAATGAGTCATAAATTAACTGGAAATTATTGTGCACAATGTATATACGCATGTGGACTCAATATCCTTAATGACTTTTTAATATCATTATTTAATATTCGTTAAATAAAATGTTTTTCCTCATACAAATTGTAGAGTCAATTGCGTTGTACTTTTGAATATAACTTGGCTTGCGTTTTTTAAATTGTAAAAACCGAAATATATTTCGTGATAGATATGGAAAGTTTGGTACACAAAAGATGCAGTAGAATAAAGTAGTCATAAGGTATATTATTGAATATCACTGACGCCTCTATTTATTTTAATAAACCAGCTTACTATACTGTAGCCAAATCGGATGTGGAATAAATGTCAACAAACAAAAACATGTTTAACATCTCTCAGACTGTTTTATACTTACCATTATAAGCTATATAGAACCTTGGCAAAGCTACAAGTTTTCTTATTTTACTATAAAATATAAACTATGCGAATATATAATAATTACTATTGTATATCATTGATAAATTATTGCCATGACCTACTGGGATCATAAAACGTATTAATAATTGTGAGACAAAGCCACTTTCCTCAATTTCAAAACTATTGTAAAGAGTAAATCACCCTCTCTGTCTAAATATAATAGCCCCACAGGGTCCAATAAAGCGCTGTTAACCTAGCATTTATTATTTCCATGCTATGTAACATTATGGTAAATGCAATAAAGAATTGAAAGAATAATATCAATATTTTTTCCTCAAAATAATGTCTGTGATGAATTTTTTTCAACAGACGTTTGAAAACACGAGTCAGCAGTTCGAAAGCAACATAAAAATTTCTCTTAAAAAAGATCTTTACATAGTTAGTAAACTAGAGCATTGATTGCCCGGAATAAATAAAAAACAAAATTGAACAAACCAGTTGCAAAAATCCGATGCTCTCCTGTTCTTTAGTTTCAGTGGCGATCTCCTCGCTTTTGTCGAGCTGATCCATATCGTACGACTCGCCCTTGTGGTCCACAAAACGTTTCGCTTGCCCCTTCATCACTTATATATATTATTAAATACTTATTAATAAAAAAAAATCGGGAGTAATTCCCGCGCGCTACACCTCGCGAGGTAACACGCGACACGTGCTTTCTCGTCAGCAGTCGCCACGGCACTGACCGCTCTTCGAGCTTGCCGGTGGTTTATAAAGTTCGCCATAATAACGTTCAGGATAACACACTGGAACTTGGCCGTTGTTGGATAAACTCAAACTCAATCTTCACCTATTTCATTCCACTACTCAAGTAGTAGAGTTCTTTGTGAAAGAGTTCGTCTAGAAAAGAACCTTACTAAGCTATTTCAAATGTAATACTAGATAAATTACTTAAAAAGCGTTGGTCAGTTCAATACTTAATAATTCAATTTTTTTTAAACACAATACAAAACAATACGAAATAATTTGTTTACAAATGAATTGTGTAGGTACATTACAATTTAAATTACGACAAAGAACCAGGTAACACAACTCAGTTGTAGCAGAGAATTTCCTACGATTCCTGCACTAAGCAAAGCCTGTCTCGCAGGTAACCGATAAAAGCATTGTTACTGTTAAAGAAAAATTGTACATATTATAATCAAGCATTATTATTATTATAATTATTAATACAAAGATCGAATACTCAGAAGAAAATTCCTTCGATCCGGTCGGATTCGAACCGACTTCTTCTTGCATACCGTGCCAGACGCCATACCAACTAAGCCACGGAATGAACCAACGGACCTCACGAATTTTCCTATGTGCTTGCGTCGTGTCTTTGTATTTAGTTTTTCAACGACTTTTTAGTCGTAGCTCCATCTATGAGAAATCTATGAAATATTTATCACCCAGTTAGTACCTTTACAGCTACCAGTCCTGGCGAAAGATGTCCCTATCCACTGTATTAATTCAATAAAAATTTAATTCATTTTTATTATCTCATATTATTATATTATATTAGATAATTCCATTTCTAATTCGATACAAATTGGTTACCTTTATAAAGAATGAGGCTGTGTGTTTATGTCAGCGTTTGTATAAGTGTGTGCGTGCGCGTGCGCGCGCGCGCCTGTGTGTGTGTGTGTGTGTGTGTGTGTGTGTGTGTGTGTGTGTGTGT